GGGGTTCCTCTCTCTTGTCAAAGCCTGCGCTCTGCGGTGTGAAGACAAGAGCGCTGGTAACAATGCTGGTAAAGGGAAGCAATCAAGATTTTCTTTTTCACTTTCAGATGTATTGATTCCTTCCCCTGAAATCTCCTTACACAATTGGTGTGAAGTTGTGAACAAAAACATCCCCAGTTTTGAAGCCTGTAAAAAAATGTAACTGTAGATGTTTGACATCACCATTGGCACAGATTAGATCATTGAAGAGGCGGGCTGCTGGGTCGATGCCTGTCAGGGACAACCCCTTTGTGGCGTCGGTGGCTAATTGGTTAGGCTCTCGGACTCGAAACCGTAAGGTCGTGGGCTCGAATCCCGACAGGGGCCTGATGTTGTGTCCTTGGGAAAGGCACTTTGCACAAATTTTCCTCACTTCACCCAGGTGGAAATGGGTACCCGGTTATAGACAGTGAACGATCTTGTCAGTTAAATAGTGTTTGAGGGCGTGAAACCCACTGCTTGCACTGTATGCTTCCGCGGAAGCCCGAGAATGTTTCTGAGTGTTCTCAGCGAGGGTCTGCTGGGGTAATGATAGTTGTAAAGCGCATAGAGCATGCTCTTGAACATGGATATGCGCTATATAAATGCAGTTATTATTATTATTATTTTGAGAGGGATACAACCTCCCAGCACACGGGCGGAAATGCTCGATTTTTAAAAATCCCACCCTAAGCACAACAGACATGACCACTACTACATGCTAAATAGAGCAGACCAGGTCACAATCTTTCGACTCCATTGTGGCCACAACAGACTCAGAAACCATATGCACACCAAATTAAAAGTTGGAGAGTCACATATGTGGGTGGATGTGTCTGTGTTTGTTTGTCTGTACGCACACTGTATATGAGGTGAAAGGTAATCGAAAAGGGAATTTAAAAACATGAATATCTTTTTACCAAAATATGAATTATAATTGGGGGGTTTTGGGGGGAAGTTTTGACTGGAATAGTTCAAGTCTTTATAGACTATCTAGACGCATGTTGTCGATCAGTGGGATCGAGTCAAGAATCCTTCAAAGCGTCACTCTGTTCCAATGTGGCACCTGATGAGATGCATTTAGCACGATCGTTCTGTCGCCAGAGATCAAGTTGTCATGTTATGAGCGACTGCGATGAATTGACGGAGCTGTGAGGAATGCCGGAGTTTCCTGTCCTGGCTTTGTCCTGGCTTATCGTACAATGTAGCGGAGTGAGGGAGGGCAGAAGATATTCGGAGACGTCTCCGGCGTGCACCCAGGAACTACGTGTATTCTGAGACGTACTCCTGCTCACAGATGCACTGCTTTTTTTT